CCTGGAATTAAATTGGCAGACTGCACAGAATATGGAGCACAGAGTTATCTATTACAGGGGACCATTATATGCTTCTCTAGCTAAGGCTATTGGATGATTTTGAAGAGAAGCCCCACACAGACATTACGCTAGCTTAACCTTCATGTGACAAATGCATAGATAATTGTAGCAAGGTTTGTATCTGTGGTAACAAAGGGCTGCATCCTTTCCATTTGAAGAAGAAATAACCAGTTTCTGGTATCTACCGTTATCAGGAAGAGAAATTACATCACTAAAATCTTGAGAATTTGAAGATTTGTAGGCAGAGGCCCTCATTTGCAGATATTGCAGACAGTTACCTCAGCCAACTGCACTTCTTTCTGCCAAAAACCCGTTATCTCATCGGAATTGACTTACACAGGGAAACAGTCATGTTCTGGTCTGATAAAACTCAGCTGTAAGTATCTTTTACATTAGCATATTTGTAACACTATAAACCATAATGCCTTGGAGTCATCCTCCCACTTGTTTTAAATATACATTGAGTAAAAGGAGTCATAACAAGGTTTTTAAACTGTGAGAGACTCCATGCATGAGAACACTTGTGAAGGTAGAGCACCTACCCACCACAGACCTCTGGGGTTTCTCCAAAAGGAATGTGTAATCGCCGTAATAGCCCTGTCCACTATTTGCAAATGTTCAGCATAAACATAAATGATCTTGTGGCCTGCTATCAGATTACCCATGTCACATGCAGCATGCAGACCGCAGGTTGCTTACCACTGGTCTAGGGTCTAGAAAACATGTTATGATTTTTTATATTAAATGTAACTATTTATTTCTAATACTTCTCTTTGGTAATACTGTACTAGCATCTCTATCCTTTGTTAAATACACTTACATTTATTTTCCTTATAACATGCTGAAAAAATGTCTGGTCCAAGAGAAATACATTTATTCGAGACCCAGGATTATTTGGAACCAGATTAGTTGCACTTGATATTGTTCTCTGTGGCAATCAGATCTTCTGAAGTGTTCTCCAGATTGGGAACAGAATGTTGATGTATGACACTTTGGGTACGTCTAGACTACAAGCCTCTTTCTAAAAAAGCCTCTTTCGAAAGAGATCATCTAGACAGCTACAAGGGTTTCGAAAAAGCAATCCGCTTTTTTGAAAGAGAGCACCCAGGCAATCTGGACACCCTCTTTCGAAAAAGCCTTGTTTGCATTCAAGAACACCTTTTTTCGAAAGAGCTCTTTCAAAAAAAGGAGTTCTTCATGGTAAAAGTAGGTTTACCATTTTTGAAAAAACCATCGCATTCTTTCAATTTAATTTCGAAAGAACGTGACGGCAGTCTTGATGCAGGAGAAGTTTTTATGAAAAAACTCAGTAGTCTAGACACAGCCTTTGAGAATTACTTTTACAGAGCTCTATATTTCCAGCTGAGATTTTTCTATTCGGATTTTTACTTTTAGTGGAAGATGGAGATCTGTGGTTTGATATGGTGATGAACATAAATTCCATAATAGCATGGTCTTGCCACATTGATTTCTTGATGGGGGGCAGTTTTCCATTTTATGTGGAAAGCAATACACTTTTACAAAATGTTTGTTTCTATTTCATCTATTACACAATACATCTTGTACTGTACATCTTTGCATAATGTTTTGATTGCCTTCACATGTATTGGAATCAAATCCGATGTTTGTGGTTTACTTTTTATCTGTCTTTGTACCTTGATTGTATTTTTAATTGGATGTTATTTCTTTTACTGCTCGCTAGCACATTCATTTGTAAGGCATAGTTTTTGCTAATTCTGCAAATATACTTTCATTTGCAAAATCAAATCCATTTCTCTAAATAATCTTGCTTTGACCTGGTTATTGTTATATTGCACATAATGTAGTCACTAATGTAGGCATCTGTTAGCTGTTCAAAATTCATCTGGACTGATATGCTAAGTGAAAATGTATGTGTTTGTTTCACCTTGGTATCTCCAATATATCTCCAGAAGCAATTTATGGTGCCACAGTAATAGTGTGCGGTGTTATCGCACCATGAATGGCTCCCTAAAGCTTTTCAAAGAGTCGTGTAGAAATTATAAGTACTAATATAATAAACATAAATACCTACAATATAAATATTGGACCTCTGGAACATCCTTAGTTTTTATAATTGAATAACTGTAGAGCAGGGGTGGGCAATAAGTGGTCCACAGGCAGGACAGGATTCACCAGGTTTAGCTGCTGGTGGGCTGCCACATGCTTTATTTACCTGAGCATATGTAGTACAGCTGCTTGCAGCCTTACCAGAAGCTAGAGGCTGGCACTTTCTTTCCTGAGTGCAGCATCAGGGTCGGGGACGTTGAAATGCCACTGTGCATCGTAGGGGACATGGCCTATCCCCTCATGCTGTGGAGATGAAGCCATATACTGGATACCTGAACTCCAGCAAGGACCGCTTCAATGGCAGCCTGGGCAGGGCCCACACACAGGCCAAATGTACTTTTGGCCACTTGAAGGCGAGATTCGGGTGCCTCCTCACTTGCCTGGATGTGCGGGTGATGGTGCTGGCAATTTCCTCTTCCTTCTCCAGCTTATCGTCCATCTCCTCATCCTCTTGGGACCCCTTCCTGAGTGACAATGGGCATCTCCAGCCCCAAGTTAACAACAAGAGGTTGGAAGGGGCTGCACTGCCCCCCAAGATGCGATGGAGCTCATTAAAATAGGGGGAGGAGTGGGATCCGGCCCCAGAGCGAGAGCTGCACTCTCTGGCGTAGCCCTGTCATAGTTTCTTTACTTCGCTGTGCACCTGCTCGAGGCTCCTGGGGTGGTGGCCCCTCGCGGCCAGAGCCTTGGCCATCAGGCCATAGATATCAGCGTTGCATCATCTGGAGTGGAGTTCCTGGAGGGTCTCCTCCTCACCCTACACCTCCAGGAGGGCCAGGATCTCTTGCCCCAGACCACAACAGTGCATACCTTTTTGTGCCCCTGGCAAGGTACTGGGAGCCTTGGCATGCTTGAGGTTGGGTTGTGGCTCAGGAGAATTGTGGCAGGGGCAGCCCCAGGGCTGGCTTCCTGCCACAAGCCTTGTCCCGGCAGGAGACGGGAACTATACAGTTGTGATGAGTTTGGACAGAATGGCCAGCAGAGCACCTGTGTTATTTCCTAGAGGCCTCTTTTTTTCAAAAGAACAATTTCTTCTGTGTCCACACACGCCTTTTTCCAAAAAAGCTTTTTCGGAAAAAGTGTTCTTCCTTGGAGGAAGAGATTTACTGCTGTCAGAAGACCCCCTCAGTTTGTCGATAGAATACAATTCCAGAAAAATGCTGCAGTGTAGACATATCTTAAGGGAAGACATGATCACAAACATGTGAGTAGATCTGACAATCCAGCCGAGAGAGGTCAGTGGTACACACATAAAAGCTATCCCATTTCAGTACATTGCATGTTGGATACCAACTTCTAGGTTTCCAGCAAAAAGTTGCTGTTATCTTTTTTATGTATACATGTACTGGTATGGAAAAATGATATACAGTGAAAGCTTTGTTATCTGGCACTCGGGGGAACAGTGGTTGCCAGTTAACTGAATGTGCCAGATAACAAAGCAGCCCTTGCCAGTTCTGCTCTAGGGGAGGAGACTTCTCCCTTCCTGAAATAGAGCCAACAGGGGCTGATGGCCCCAGTCCTGGGGAGGAGCTCTGGGAGAGGAGGAAGCCTCTTCCCCAGGAGTGGGGCCAGCATCCCATCCAACACTCCAATTCAAACTTTAACTGGCTGGGGTAATGCTAGTTAACAGAGTTTTCCGGTTAACAGAGTGCCAGATAACAAAGCTTTTACTGTACCATAGTCATATTTTTGTATTGTATTTTTCTTTGTTACAATTTAAAAAAAACACAACATAAAATAGCTACCTATTCAAAATTATTTTCTTTAGTATAATTTTTCTCTGTGTATGTAGTTTCTGAAGTAAAAAAGTAATTTAAATAATTGAAGTAAGACAGATTGTATCCTTCCTCCCTGTCAATTGTTTATGTAACTGGCACAGGTAAACTAAAAAAGAAATTATGGTATAATTACAGTTAATGCTTCAGATGTGTAATACAAAGTGTGTCACACTGTTTTAATACCATAGTTTGTCCAGTTTATCACTGTTCATTATCATCCACAAAACAATAGATTTTGAGACATTACACTTCTCAGCTGCTCATAGTTGCTTAGCCTGGGACTCTAGAACCTGAGCCAAAGTGCACAAGTGTGCAGTACAGTCTTCAGTGTGTTATGAATATTGTCAAAAGCATGTACCACCAGTATTGTGTGTGCACGGTAGCCATGTCTACACTACAGATAAGATCGAAGCAGCCGTAGTTCATCTTCTGGGGTTAGAATTAGTGGGTTATTTGAAGTGAGCAGGAGCTCCTGTTGATGTCAGTAGTCCTACTTCTACAAGGAGTAAGGGGAGTAGAAGGGAGAGTGTTCTCCCTTCGACTTTCTGCAGTGTGGATGGCGCCAAAATTTGAGTTAAGATACTTCGACTTAAGCTACGCAATTAACGTAGCTGAAATTGCGTATCTTACTTTGAACTTATCCCCTAGTGTAGACCAGGGCTGTAGGTTTAGGAGATATAGAAATAGTCATGTCCTGTCAGCAGATTCATTGCAAGTAGTAATGGATGAAGTTGTCGATAAGTGGCATGGGTGTAGCAAATATATGGAGTCTTTTAATATTAAAGTTGAAGGGATGTGATTGGTTCTTGGAAAAACACTGCTAATAACTGAAAGTTATCTTTAAAGAATTACTAATGACTGGCATAAGCTGTGTAATCTTTTACAATGTGTTATATGCTGCCCATGTTGTATCTATTTAGTAAATGAAAAGAGTTCAATCTTTACAGTTGCTGCAAGTAGTACATTCATTTAAAAGATGTGTAAAATAGCAAAAAATGAATTGGCAATGGTAATAATTATTTTAGTTTAAAATTGACAGCTATTCATACTAATAAAACTATTTTTTATTTTTAGAATATATGGTGAATCTCCAAAAAGGCCCAGAAAGAAAAAAGAAAAAGTAAGTGAAAAAGTAAAATTAGTAATTTGTATACTTTTGTTACAATCTATTTTAGTGTTCTGTTGTACAATCAACATTTTAGAAACAGTAAAATATTTAAATGTTAACATTTTGATAAATATAGCTCCTTACATATTGGAGAGTGGAAAATCTGCTGTAATTTATTTTTCAACTCAAATGGTTTTAATTTTAGGTTTTTGCCACACCAAGTAGATAAAATGCAGATAAATACGAAAAATATATTGATATATTTTAAAACTGGGCAGTCCTTTAAAATTTTTCTTTCTAATCCGGTTGAAGAAAATGATTACTCACTCTCTATTTTGGCTTTCTACTGCATTGTGGCTTTACTTGTTTTGTAAATCCCAATGGAAGATTCAGTAGTTTCATTATTTAAATTTAGAGACATGAGATATTTAAGAGAAGAATCCTCACCCTATGAAATTGCGTTAAAAATATTCCCAAATAAACCAAAAATTGTATTGCTTCCTTTATCTATGTCACCATCAATTGTCTGTTTAGTCTGTGAACATTTAGGAGCAATGAGCTAGGAGCTAGATTATAACACATTCTCTGTCCTATTGATAATCAGGGACTACTTCAGTGAGTGACTGCTTATCAGCGGACTTATTGTTTTTCAACAAAATGAATTAGTATCAGTTCCTGCTGTGTTCTAATGGGCATAGTAAGACCCGATACCAGGTAGTTTTGTTGCAATACAAATAATAATTTGAGAAGAAGATCCATTTTATTTTATAACTGTAAAGCACCGTGTGTGCTTGGCTGCTTTATAATGATTAATAATTCAGTTAAAATTAAATTGAGAGCACAATGATTACATAGTTAAACACCCAAAATACATTGAAGTTCTGTTGATACTACAAGTTGCACCTCCCCAATCTGGCACCTTCGGGACCTGAGTGGTCCCAAACAAGGGAGTTTTCCAGACCAGAGGAGGTCAGACCTCAGGCTGTCCCAGGGCTATCCTCCTGGCCATGACCCCAGCCAGTGTGTTGCCTCCAGTTCGCTTTCTGAGTTCTGCTGCCCCCAAACCTCTGGGGGGGCTCATCTCCACGCCACCCGTCCCACTCTGGCCAGCAGAACTCCGCTCTGAGTGGGCCTCACTCCTGCTGTGGCAGGGTTCCACTCCCCTGGCTGGCAGGGCTCCCTGCCCCTGGCTGCTGGTCTGCTGGCGAGGGTTCCCTGTCCCCAAGCTACTGACCCTATGGCCTGCCAGCTATTTGCAACCTCTGTAGTGGGGGCTCTCTGCTCCAGCAACATCCATGGTCCTGCTAGACCAGAATGTCTTGGATCACAGAGGTTCAACCTGTAACATAAAACAGAAGTATACTGGCACTGTTTCATTATATAAAATACAAGGTGCCTTGTAAAAAACCTATATTGATTTTTGTGAGCAACATGATGTCAGCCGACGGTCAGGGCAGTGTGTGTGTGTATGTTTCCGAGAAAAGGTTTAACGTCCGTGCCTTTACTGCTAGGACCGGGGTCCCATCGCAGAGGGTGGCCAGCAGGCCAACAGACGCCCCGTTATATAGGAAGAGCTTATTACATCTTAGATTTCAGCTGCTAGAATTTCATAATTCCTTCACAGCGGGCAGCCTTGGGGAAAGACTGAAAGATGCCCCAGTGGGTCCTGTCACCTGGGAGTGACACAGATCCAAACGCCCAAGCTCTTCCTATAACTGTCCCTTTAGACCGGCTGAAGTTCTTTTAAATTGTGCTTGGTTCTGTTACAGCAACTGAAGGAGGCAGGTTAAAGCTTAAACAGTTACAGGTTTATTGAGGAAGCTTATAAATCATATGGTTACAATGGCTATTGCTCTATTTCTTAACTATTAGCAAAATATAGGTCTTAAAAATGGTTACAAAGAAGATAAAGATAGAAAAATAGAAATAATGGTACCAAGTAACAGCTTACTCTTTCTATGTGTACACTTAAGACAGAGGACCACATCCAGGTACCATTTTTACCCCCTTCTGTGCCTCTCGACTCCAGCATGTCAGGCCAGGGCCGGTCCCTCAATTCCTAGGAAAGACGAAAATACGAGGTGGGCGTCCCCATAGAACCTCGGGAGGTCAAACACCTAACCCGACCAGCAGGTAGAGGGTAGAATGACACTCAAAGTGAGTGTGTGCTGGGCCCATCTTTTATAATCATGAGGTCACGTATTTCTCTTTCTTATCTGTAATGCCAATTGATGCTGGTCTGTCTGCTGTGAGACCAGTTCTTACAAGGGAGTTGTGAACTTAATTTACACTTGTAAGAGAGAATTGAGATGATTAAATTTTGAAGTACAGGACATTGTTTTCTCAGTGGAAAATTCCTCTCAGGGACTGTGTGTGTGTTCGAATCAACATAGGGGCCAGCCGCAGCCTCGAGGCCAGCTTATTGACATTAGCTGCTCTCTCTCCACGTATCTGTGTTTCAGCTTCTCAGGATCAGATGAGCCAGCATAGACTATGCTGATATTATTGCTCCTTCTCTGCCCTGGGCTTCAGAGAGGCAAATAAGATGGATAATATAGAGGCAGGCTGTCTGGCCACACATGAGAGTAATGTACTCTAATTATGTGGCTTCTAAGACCCCTGATGTCATCCAGCCCCCCTCCCCTTCCAAAATTTATACGAAGGGGGTCCTTGCTGAAGACTTTTAAAGATCTGCATGGATGAGAGGAATATGGAATGAAAGATGTCTGAAAGAATATGGATTTGGGGCGGTAGGCAATCAGATGGGTGTACAGCTATAATTTGACCCATTGAAAGAGACAATTGAGTATTCTTTGAGGAACATTCTAAGGCTTATGTAGATTTAGGAGGCTTCCAAAGAGACTCCTATGTTCACAAGCAACATGATTCCTAGGAGTTAAGACTCACTACTGTCCTCAAGATTTCCATAGTACTCTTCTGTTTATGACAAGTATCAGAGGAGTAGCTGTGTTAGTCTGGATCTGCAAAAGTGACAAGGAGACCTGTGGCACCTTATAGACTAACAGATGTATTGGATCATAAGCTTTTGTGGGCAAAGACCCACTTCGTCAGGTGCATGTAGTGGAAATTTCCAGAAGCAGGTATAAATATGCAGGCCAGAATAAGGCTAGAGATAACGAGGTTAATTCAGTCAGGGAAGGTGAGGCCCACTTCTAGCAGCTGATGTGGAGGTGTGAACACCAAGGGTATGTCTACACTACCCCGCTAGTTTGAACTAGCGGGGTAATGTAGGCATACCGCACTTGCAAATGAAGCCCGGGATTTGAATTTCCCGGGCTTCATTTGCATAAGCGCAGGGGAGTTAAACAGTCAAAAGACAGACTGAAAAAAACATGATTTGAAGTTTTAAAAAATCTCATGATGATTTGTGGGGCCAACTTCATGCTTTTTGGGGGTCCAACTCATGATTTTTTATCTCTTGAGGTTGGCAGCACTGGAAAATTGACACATAGTGCAAAGAGGCTTGAAAGTGGGGATGTGGGCAGAAAGGAGGAGAGCGGAGGCAAGGCGATATTGTGAGGATGATGGTACTCTGTGAAGGGATCTCCTCTCATGGCACTGGAGAGGCGTGACAGTATTTGTTTGACAGAGAGAGGGCCAGGGAGGTATATGAGGGTATGTCTACACTACCCTCCTAGTTCGAACTAGGAGGGTAGTGTAGACATACCCCAAGAGAGGAGAAACTGCTTTTGTACTTGGCTAGCCATTCACAGTCTTTGTTTAATGTTTGTTATCTCTAGCCTTATTCTGGCCTGCATATTTATACCTACCTCTGGAAATTTCCACTACATGCATCTGAGGAAGTGGGTCTTTGCTCACGAAAGCTTTTGCTCCAATACACCTGTAAGTCTATAAGGTGTCACAGGACTCCTTGTTGCTTCTGTTTATGACAGTGAACAGTAGCAGATTCTTTAGAGGAAAGTACAAGAAACTCTGTGATGGATAATTGTGGTATAACCCACCCATAAAGGAAGATTTAGCCTAAATCCTAGCTTGTTCCCTGGATTTTTATCTTTTTTATAATTTTTGTATATTTTCTGATGTAACTAATATCCATATAAACTATATATACATTATCTTTTGAATTCTGCTAAACTCTTTGCTTCAGTGTTGTCTTGTGACAAGATCTACAGGGTGGGGAACCTTTTTAGGCTGGGGGGGGCACTGACACACAGAAAAATCACTCATGGGCTGCACGCAACTGAGAAGCAAAGAAATCAAAAAACAAAAACTAGCCCCCGACTGAAAAGGAGAGAGACACTTCCCACATTCCCCTTGCATACCGGGGCCTACAGGGGCCCAACCTACTTGACGTGGCCTCTGACTGAAAAGGAGAGAGATACTCCCCATATTCCCTCACACACCAGAGCCTACAGGGGCCCAACCTAGTAGATTTTGTGTGCTCTAGTCCCACAATGGGGCAGCATTGGGGCTGGAGCACCAGCACGGGCTTCCAATACTAGGGGAGGGCCTGAGCCTTGGGCCCCAGATCCAGGCAAACTGGGAGCTGCATCCAGCCCCCAGACGTGAGGTTTCCCACCCCTGATCTATAGGTTGATTGTACATTGTACAAAAATGGTTGGTTTGTTGTTATTGGCTGTCCCATTGCTTTTGTGTTATGAGGAAGGGTACACGATGGCAATCAACATAGCTGCTCTGCAACATTTATTACTTTATGTAACATATTCCTTCTGTTTTGTTTCTTTTTAAATATAACAGCACTAATCTTTTCAATTTTTCTTTATATGGAAGTCTATAATATAAAAAATAAACATGTTCTTGTGACTAAAATGAGGTAATGTATACTTGCAAAGAGATTTTTCTATGACTATTATCTGCACAGCTATTTTTTCTCTTTTAATCCTCCAGACTTATTTACCTCTGATAATATTATGTCTATGTCAGTTGCTGCTTCATACTAGTTACCATAACAAGAAAATAACCCTGAAATGATGTCACAAAAATTTTTGATTCTTGTGGTACATTCAGAG